CTCTTCAGCCATTTCTTTGTTCCCTGCACCCCCACCTTTGGGTGCACAGCCTGGGCCTGCACGCTCCCCAGCACTCTGGTTGTAGGCCTCAACATCACACGGCCCCTCGGAGACAAAGCAGCTACTCCCAGCTGTAACTTCAGGAAAATGGCCAGCCCCCTCTGGGCTCTCAGCTTCCTCCCTGCTCTCGGCTTTCTCCCGGCCCTGGGCTCCTGCTGAGCTATCACACAGACTCCTCAGCACCTGCCAGGCGGCCTGAGCCGAATCAATGCCCTCCAGGTGGGGCAACAGCATAGCGTCCACGCTTGCTCTCAACATGCAGAGCTCCCTTTGCATTCTCAGCTCTCTATCTTCCAGGAGAGCAGCCTCCCATTCTGCTCCTCCTTCTTCAGCAGCAACTGGCATGGGTGGGGCAGGCTCCTTCTGGGCTATATCCCAGAACCCTGTGGCCAAAAACCACCCCCTGACTCTTCTAACCCAGATATCCCAGGACTGGGTTGTGAGCTTTTCAAACGGGACATCATAAAAGTCCTGGAGCTCAGCCATTTCCTCCCCCAGTGTTCCCATTGTTGGGGCTTTTGAAGTACTCACGCGTACCAGCCAGCTTCAAAGGAGAGGCCTCCAGTGGCTCCTTGCAGCACACAGCTTGTATTCAGCTTTGCAGCACACAGCTTTGCATCCAGCTTTCCTGCTTTCTCCCAGGCGAAGCAGGACTTTTGCATTCCGGCAGCAAAAACAACAGCTTCTCAGTTTCCAGCCTTCTTAAGCACACAGCACATCAAAGCAGGCTTCCTCTAATTGCAATTACTGCCTCCATAACCTCTGGGATATATTGATTTATTGCTCAGATAAGCGTCCGGTCCGGCACGCTTCCCCCAAGAGTCTCTGCATTCCAAGAGTCCGACTCATCTGAGCATAGCAGAGTTGAGATCCACAGCGGCTAGAGGAAGCTGCAAAACACTCCCGTGCATTCTTCAGTGTACTTAAATAAAGTTCCACACAGGATCTTAGCAGCTAAAAGCAGCTTTATTTACAGCAGGCTATCCATTATCTATCACAGCGAACAGCATCGTGAAAACACGTCCTCTCTCCTCAAAAGCGAAAGTAGAGAGACAGAACAAAGACTTTAGTCTCTCGGAACTGACGTAGCTCCCCCCTCCCAACTGTAGGCAGGGCGTACAGTCTGAGCTGTTTAACCCTGTAAGCTCAGGTTCTCCTCACAATTTAATGGTTATTTTTTTATTTTAAAAAATGTTTCTTGGAAATGCCGTCAATACTGATAGTCACCAGTGTTGAAGCGATGATTCTTCAACATCAACTTCATTGGACTGGTCATGTTGTGCGGATGCCTGATGATCGTCTTCCAAAGCAACTACTCCATTGTGAACTTAAAAATGGAAAGCATAATGCTTGTGGTCAACAAAAGAGGTTTAAAGACTCTCTCAAGGCAAACCTAAAATAATGTAGTATAAACACTGACAACTGGGAAACACTGGCCTGCAAGCACTCCAGTTGGAGAACAGCCTTTACCAAAGGTGCCATGGGCTTTGAAGACACTTGAACTCAGGACGCAAGAGAGAAATGTGCTAAGAGGAAGGCACACTTGGCAAATCCATACCATGATCAACTCCCGCCCAGAAACCAACTTCCCCACTGTGGAAGGACGTGTGGATCCAGAATTGGCTTTCACAGTCACTTACGGACTCACTGTTAAGACCGCGTTTATGGAAGACAATCTTACTTGGCTACAAGTGATCGCCAAAGAAGATGCCAGGGGAATGTGACCCTTTATAGTGCAACAGGACCAGATGTTGTTGGACTGAAGCTCCTATAATCCGTAACCATTGACTATGTTGGCTGGGGTTGATGAGAATTGTCATCAGGAAGGACAGTGATTTCTCATTTTTGTAGCACAGAATGAGTATCAGTTCCCTGGTCATACGAATCATCCACCCAAAATCTTCCCATCTTATATGGATTCAGCTTCTGTTTGTTGGCCCTTTTCCAGTCTGTTTCCACATCCAAACACTGATTAGTATTAAATGAATCATTTAAATCTACATAATTTAGCTTTTTTAAAAAAAAAAATCACTTCTAGGGGAAGAACTATTTCTTTGTTTCTAAATGGTGCAGCACCATATTGGAAGAGGCATTTCCCATTGTGTGAGAGAATTATCCTTTAAGATATAAGAACTGCAGAAGGCAAGCACTAAGTACTTACATGGGGGGGGGGGACTTAAAGAAAACAAAAGAAAGAAAATGTGTTTCCCAGTGAATCAGAGTTGCCCTTTCTTTAGTCAGTTATAAAGATTTTAATTGATTAATCAGAGGCATCAATTAAATGTTGCAGAAGTGGCACAGATCCACTCAACCCACCACTCATGATATGTCAGTTTGACTGTGTGAATGACTTGCAGCATGTGGAGGGGCAGAATTTGTTCTGTGCATTTGCACTGTCATCTTCTTCAGTGTAGACTATGATTAAATCACCCAGTGCTCTGAATTTGGCAAGAGGACAAGGAAGGTGTTACTTCTCCATTATTTGCCATCCAATAATACATGCAGCTGTCACTTGGATATGAACAGAAGAAGGCAGACTACCTTCTCGAACGTCTTAGAGTATCCTCATCTTGACTGACATCTGCTGGTGAGAAGTGAGTGTCTGGCAAACCTTTGACACGAACCTCATCGCTGCATCTCAAAGGCTATTCCTTTGGTTTTCCTCATCTACAGTCATCTGTTGCTCTGTTTTGCCATATCAGTGCAAAAGTTCAAATCCCATTTAGCATGTGGAAGATGCTACATGAACCCCCTACCTAAGTGGTTGCTTTCGTCTTAAAATTGCAGAAAATGCTATTAAACTTTTTGCTCAATGTTCCCTATCCCAGAGAACAGCTTATACCGGCCTAGAGGACAGGTGGGGGAACCTGTGGCACTCCTTATGTTTGTTGTACTGCAACTCCCATCATCCCTGGCCATTGACAATGCTGGGTATGGATGGTGGGAGCTGGAGTCCAGTAATATCTCGATGCCCACTGGCTTCCCACTCCCGGAGAGACAAAATGTTATTGCCTGGGTCAGGCTTTACTCGCTGAACTTGGTCTCCTCCATTAAGGCCAGAGTCAGATACCCGCCTAGCGATCTATGCCTGCAGATCTCGATCTGTTTCCTCGATCGCTCCTGATCCACCCTCGTAGGGGTAGCCCTTTCCAAATAGCAACAGGCATTTGGGAGAAAAGGAAACGGCCGCGAGGCGGACTTGCCGGGAGCGACGGAGGAAGGAAGCCTGTGGGACGCGAGGAGCTGTCCACCGCTCTCGTGGTGCTGAATGCCCGTCGCTCCTGCCCGTGGACTTGTGGAGCGTGGACATCAGGGCTCAGCCACACGGCGACTGGTGCAAGCCTGGTGGGACTGCGCCATCTGTCTGCTGAACGAGAACCGGGCAGGGAGGTAACCAAAAACGGCGGCGGAACACGAGGATGGGAGGCGACGTCCGCGCGCATTCGCATCAGCAGCACACCCAGCTCCTGCGCCCTCTCCGTGCGCCTGCTGAGCTGATGGGCTAAGCGCGCCCTTGGCAAGCGCCTCCTCCTCCCTGGACCCGCCCTCCCCAGTCCGAGCAGCTAGAGTAAGCGCCTTCAGCATCTGGATGGCAACCTCCTCAGCCCAGCTGCTGAACAGGCACCCCCGAAGAGGATGGCATGGCTTGGCAAGGGAGCTCCTCGCCCAGGAGGTAAAGTAAGGAGCACTCGAGGAGTGCGTGTGTGTCTGCGTGTGGGGGAGAGGAAAAAAGAGGGGGTGCGGCGGGCGTGGGGGCGGAGATGAATTTCCTTGCAGCCCGTCAGAAACACGAGTTTCTGCTTCTCTCTCCTCTTAAGTCCTTACCTGAATTTTGGACGGTGGGTGCTTTTGGGAACTGTGACCAAAAAGAGAGAGATGAGATGCTAAGGAACACTTCTCTCTTTCCCTCGGTGCTCTTTCCCTTTCTCTGCCGTTTTGTCCCCCCTCTCTCTCCTTTTGCTTCCAAAGCACAGATCAGCTCATTCCGCTGAACTCCTACACACACACACACACACACACACACACACACACACACACACACACACTGCTTAAGTATAATCTGAATCTCCGAATGAGATGACGCACGCCGGGGAAAGCAGCTGAGCGCCTGTATTCCATGTATGTATGCATTTGTATTACTTTACCGAAGTCACTAAGCCCCGCTGTAGCCCATCAGTCACTTCCTTGAGGCTTCTTTTAACTCCGAAAGGCAAGAGCGCTCGGATTTGGAGATTTAGGCAAAGGTGGGAAGGCAAAATGCAAAATCGGACTTGACCCAAAACGGGACGAAGGAAAGGCGCAGGGTAATCCTATACGTGGGTACTCAGGAGTAAGCCCCATTGAGTTCAGTGGGACTTACTCACAGGTAATTGAGTATAGAATTTCAACGTGTTTGTTGGGAGGGATGTGCATACATGGAAAACCGAAGGGATGAGAACCAGAAATCATAGAGCTGCATAGGAGCTGAAGGAAAGAGCTTTCTTTTAGAAAGGAAGAAAAAAATGAGCATCAACAACTTTGGCTGCAAGACATACCTGAGAAACGGTGCCTGCTTATCTAAGTGGAGAGCCTCCAACAGGTAACTTAGTTTCCTCACCTGTGCCACATCGCCCTTCCATGTCAAGCCATGCATGCAGATGAATAACTTCATGTATTGGTGTCTGTCTCTCACTGCACACAGTCTCTCCCTTCAGAACCTTGCTTTCCTAGCTACCTTCCAAGAGAGACATTCTGGTCCCCCACTCTTCACCAGCAAATGAGGGAAAAGTTTGAGTGCTTGGATAGGACTGATCAGGCAAGAGCAAAGCTCCAAGCTGGACTTAAAGGTGGACGGTTGCAAGTGCATCTTGTCAACCCAGGAGCTTACCAGGCTCAGCAATAACAAGATAAGCCGTTTAGTCACCTCTTTCTCTACTTTCCCTCTGCTGGTATTGCCTGATTCCTCCAAACTGCATGTGGAGAGCTCCGACTTAGGGAAGGTGATTCACATTCAGCCAAAAGGACTGGTCTTCATTTGTTCCATGATCATTTTGTATGTGTGGTTTTCCATCTATTGTGTGGGTGATTAAAAAAAAATCAAGGTAAGTTGGCTTTATGCATGTGCTGGGGTGGGGGGAGGCTGGATTAATGAAGTTTGCATGTCTCTATCCTGTTGCTCTAAGATTTGCTTTCGCTGAGTACATTTGCTAGAGAAGAGAGAGAGGAAATCTTTTGCAAGAAGTTTTATTATCTACCATGGGAGAATGTGGAGGAGGAGATCTAATTGAGAGAGGGTGTAGAAATCTCATCTGAGCATAGTTTGCATTTTAAATGAAAAGATCATTGAAACTGGAACCTGACCCACATAAAAATGACTTTTTAAAAAGGAAACACTAGTATTCAGAATACCAGCTTTTCTCCCTGCTCTTATAATTCCATGAAACTTGCATTATTCTGTTTGTCAGCCTTCCCTGCTTTTTATCTGCTTCTACAGATAAGTTTCTTAAAACAAGTCTAACTAGAGATGATCAGTGACACCCAGAAATATTGATATGGTGTCAGAAGTTAATGAGATGAAAGTCCATCATTTATGTCCTTTTCCCCCTGAATGAACAGGAATAAATATGTGGTTCTATAAAGTTTTTCTCCAGTGCACTATTGATCCCAGAAAGGAGTGTGGATGTGAATTTTCAAAGTTAAAATAAAATTATTGTCAATAAAGCAAGACATAGCTCAAACAAGCTTTATTTCTACATGTGGAAGGATGGCTGGAGTGGCTGGAAAGAGCAGATCTTTCTGAGAGAGCAGAAAAGCCTTGGATTACCATTTTCTTTGCACCCTTTGGGTGGCATGGCACTTACCTAGAGAAAACACAGTCTGTTTGCTTCCACAGTCTGTTGACATTTGGTTTCAGTCTAAAGGGTCATACCATGCACACAATCTCCTCTAGTCGAAATACCATCAGTAGACTGCCAAGTAAAAGATACTGTCAAGACATCTCTGTCTAGTGTGTAATATGCTTAGTTTTTTAGAATAAAAAAAATGTCTAAAAAAAACCAGTTGGTTCAAGAGGGGGGTTGAACACTTCAAAATCCACATTTAGGCAATGCTTTATTAGAACTATTTAAAAAGTTACCAAATTGTGAGAAGGGGGTTGTCTAGAACTCTTCCTCAGGAAATGTCTTACACAAAGGAGGGGACGAGGGGATGTGGAATTTTTTGCTGTTCTTTTTTGAGTTTTGTCATCCCCTAACCCGATCACACACCCACTATGTGTAACATCTCACCTGATAAAGAGTTCTGGCAAACTCAAAAGTTTGCCACTATTTTGTGACGTCTTGGTTGGTCTAATAAAGGTATTGCTCCAGTGTGGAATTTACAATTCATGTTTGTATATGTTTAATTGAAATGGTAACAAGTGAACTATTGTCTTCAACAGTGTGTGATGGTGGGGGGGGGGGTACTTTTGCAGAATGCACTTTGCTCCTAAATGGATTCTGCATGGCCCACAATACTCTTATTGTAAATGCTATATGCATTTGTGTTTCTGTATGTGAAGAGAGGTTTTTCTATACCTTTCCACACATTAACCTGTTGCTACATAAAATACTGTGTGCAGTCTTTCCTCTCAAGCTTTTACTTTTGGGGGGTGGGGTGGGGGTGGAGCCTAGGAAAGATCAAGATCAACAGTTGGATTTGATTAATTAATTAACTTTGCTTCCTTATTAGTATTTGTTGGCAATACAAATACATAGTTTTTGCATCCCCTGGGAAGTAAGTTCTGTCAATGGAACTAAGGGTGAATGTATGCCTATATGTTGAATGGTCAATAACTGCAGTGTCACATAATGACTTGTATGTGTGAAACAGCCATTACAGATCAAACACCACTGACAAGGCTTTTCCTCTGCTCTCACTTTACTTCAAGCATATAACTTTTCAACAGCAGTCGTTCACAGCCCTTCATCTGCAAACAACTGAGTAATAAAACACTGAGTGATACACATACATAGATCAATGTTTCATACCAATTATATATTTTATGCTTTTGCATGCTACCTTTTCAGTTCTATCTTTATCCCACATTGAAGCAACCCCTAGATATAAATTGAAATAATTCACTGTTAGGAACATAAGAAGATGCCTTGTACTGGCTCAGACCATTGGTCTATCTAGCTAACTGTTTGCACTGATTGGCAGCAGCTCTTCAAGGTTTCCTGGAGGTGCCGGGAATTGAACCTGGGACCTTCTGCATGTAAAGCACATGCTCTACCACTGAGCCATGGCCCTTCCACATAGTATCAATGATATCCTAAAATATACTCCCCAAAACTACTGGAAGCAACTGAATTATACCACCCTGTAACAACAACAAGAAAAAGAGTAGTAGTAGTAATAATAATAATACTTATTGACTTCTGAAATGTTGCCTGAGCCAATAGCCCATACATGATCAGAAAATTGTCTGCACTTCCCGGAATTGATAGATACGGTTGCTGTCCTATGCATATGTTCTTGGAATGGTAGTAAGTGTCATTGAATGCAGCAGGACTTACTTTTGAATAAGCATACATGGTATTGTGCTCAAAGTGATAACATGTCAACATAATGTTTCCAATTCACTCAAATGTTCTAATTTCTTGTGCAGATAGCTAGAGTTTACAGTTTCAGAGTAAGCATACAGACCCAGAAGGCTCTTTTTCTTTTCTTTTTTAAAAAGTGGTTTTAAAATGTGTAACCCATTTATGATCTATTAGTGTCTTAAGTAATGCTTTATGGGACACATTAGGAGTGCCTTTGGCAACATTGTGGAGTGGCCATGCACACAGTGCTGGAATTTATAACAAAGATCTACATTACGCAATTGTAGATTCTGATGCCTCTAAGGAATTTTGAGAAAAACTCAGTTTCAGTCACACAATTACCACATAAATCCAGCATTGTTCCATGCCCATCCAGTATTCTCTAAAAGTCTCTGTTGAGCAGCCTGTGTTTCATATTACTTTTCCCGTTAAAATTGCTTAGCCATGTGAGCCCCGAGTAGTTTGATGCAATCCCTGAATGTTATCAGAATCTTCTCCAGAGCTACTAAAAATAAGTGGCCATGTATCAAGAGGGTAACTTATAGGAAAGCACACATTTTTTTAAATAATTGGCTTTCATTGATGTCATGGGAAAGTAGCAGATCATGTGATGGTTCTATGTTCAGTTTCTTTAACTGGTTCCAATAACTATACCCTCATACCATCTTCTGATGTAAGTCTCAATGCAACATTTCTTTGCTCATTGGAAGAAACTGCTGCCAGGGAACAAATGTCAACCAGTAACAGC